TACTACTCCTTTATCGTTTTTCAAATAAATTTTGTGAATATATTGGAAAACCTCTTTTCGCCAACTACAAATGCTCCTATTCAGCTTTTCAAGTTTTATCAAATCAATCTCTTAAGACGCTTTTGATTTTCACCAAAGCTCTCTATTTTTAAATTTAAAAATCAAGATTCATCCGTATTTTAGTTTGAAAATGATTAGTTTATACTTCTGAATATGGTTATCATGTTGAAAATACTTGCAGCCTTTATAGTTTCTTCAAAAAAGCTTTCTCTTCATGCACAGTGCTCAAAAATCCTCGGTTTCGCGAAGTCTTACTTCCACTAGTGATATGATCTTTTGACATGCCCAATAGAAAGAGCGTGATTTAAAATCCTTAAGCAACAGAAATCAGAAATCCGCGTTCTTCTATTCGCCCGTTTCCGTTCTGAGATTACGCAGTTCTATCAAAAAAACTGTTTGGCGAAAATAACATTTTTTCCTCAAAAAGTACGACAAAGTGGGATATTTCAGACATCCGCTTTTGGGTGACCCCTCGCCTCTGCAACATTTTCACCGGCACTCGTCGCCCATGCTTAGAAATGCCCTTCTTGATCAACCCCTTGTCGAAATTTGTCAGCTATTTTAATATACTTTTGTTTGAAATCATCGACATTTTCATTCAAACGTAGAGTTTGAATTGAATTCAATGTTTGTTGAAATTGTTGCGCAAGTGAAGACTGTCCATCGCCATTTAGTGTGATTTGAGTACAGGCGCTAGCACTACTCGACATTGTTTCACCTGTGGTTGTCAACAGTGCAGTTGGAAGAAACTGAAATGAATGTGTCGGGCAAAATGCTTGTTTTAACTGGAGACCATTAATACATGTTTCTCCGTGTTGATTTTGTTTAATTGGTAGTTCATCAATATCGTTGAACTGTTTCAGACTGGTTTTGTCGTTAAAAGTGTTACTTTCTTCAACCAGAATCAGGTCCAGAAGATCCAACACGAAAGTAGTGATCGGGGATTTACTGAGTTTGAAAATGCTCGCGATTGATCGAAAAAACTTACTTGACAAATCGAGGATGCGACGCTATTATTCTGGTTTTCATTTGCTCTCGAGTTTAAAAGAAGAGATGAACAAAAAGAATGAGAGCAACGGCTCAGAAAATACTAGGAATTTTGCTCGCAATTTAAAACAAATTTTGTAATGCTCTTTTGAACGGCACCTGTCTGCAGTAAAAAGAAAGCCTTTCTTTTTACTGCAAACAGGTACCTGAAGCCTTAGCACTCCTCTGCCGTTAGGTTTGGGACTATCAAAAATGAATGAAAACATAGGTTATCGACCATGCTGAATCTCGTGGCAATGTTAGTTTTCAGACAAATTGCAACAGCTGAGTGAAAACCTACAGGGTGCCCCATAAGTCACTGAACGACTTTGATTGCGAATAACTTTTGATAGGAGCAAGATAGAGACCTGCGCTTTCCGCCATTCAAGACGAGACTTGGAGGCATGTTTTCATAGCCAACATTATTTTCAGAAGAGTTTTCTGAAACAGGTTTTTAAGGAGATCTTTGGAAAACTAGACCGTCTGTAAAGATTTTCCAATAGGATTGTATTGCTTTTTTCTCATGGACTGCTCGGGATGTTCTCTCCAAAATCAAGGCAAAGTGNTGGTTCGGGCGCTGTATCGGATTTCCTACGAGTCCCAGGACTGGCGCCCGATGACTATTGGTAGCCTTAAAGACTGATGGACTATGGGTAACCGACCATGCTGAGTTTTGTGGAAATATTTATTTTTACAAAAAGTTCTAAAAATCTACCGAAAAGCCAGTTTTACGAAAATTAGGGTTTCCAGGCTATTTTCACCTAATATTAAAAAATTCACTATTCGCTCACAGAACATCAGAACAAGCTGAAAATCTCAGGATACGATTAATGTTCTCCACTAAACGTGATTATAAGATCGAA